CCCAGGAGGGCATCTGGCTGGGGTGACGGCTGGGCTGGCACTGCTCTGAGCCCACCTGGCCAGGCAGGCAAGAGGCGACAGCTGCTTTACGCTCTTATGAGTGCCAGCTTTCCCGAAAGGAGGTCAGCCTCAGAGACCAAACTGCTAATTAGGTCTCATTCTGCTTCCTGCTGCCACTTTAATTTCCACCCCAGAAAACCTTCAGCTGTGAGTCCAAGACCATCAGCCCCTTTCACCCAAATGCAAATGTCTCCAAGGTCTCTCTGGCTGGCTGGCCTTCTGCTGCTGCTAGCCCTGGCTAGCAGCAGCCAGAGCTTCATGAAGGATAGGAGCTTCCTACAGACAGAGACACCTTAGACAAAACTGTTTAGCAAATCTGAAGTCTGCCTGAGTTTGAGCAGCTGAGGGTTGATTTTAGCAGCTCAGTGTTATGAATGAGCCCAGAACCAGGAATCAAGGACTTTGGGCCTATTTTCGACTTTCACACTAATGATCTGAGTGACCTTGGGCAAGTCACTTCCTCTCCCTGAGTCAGTTTCCTTTTATGTAAAATAAATGGGTTGAACTTACCCTTTCCAAGCCTCTGAGATTCTGATAATGATTTAAAACTTATGTCAAATGAAAAAAAGAGCTCATTTTTATCTGTGTTCCTTGTGGATTGGCCTTTTTCTTCCTGAAAACCAAAGCCCTCAGATGAAGTTGTCATCACTAATTCTCCTTTGCCATGGGTGAGACTAAAATAGCCTTCTACCCAAGGCCTCTCAGAAGTCAAGATGCCACTTGGGGGTTGACTTAGGGTCACAAAATGCCACTACAGAGGCTAACCCCAGATTTCCCAGATTCATCTCTCCACACATCCTCTTTACTTCTCTGACCTTGCTTCTGTCCATCTCAACATCAAATCCACTTCCATGACCCTTATCCAAGCCTTCTCCAAAATGGCCCTGGTATCACTCATTTACTCCTAACTGAAATCAGCTCGTTGCCTTTCACGGGTATATCTGCATTTTTAGCCTCCTATTGCAGATGCTTCAAAGTTCAGTTGTCTTCTCCCAGGTGCTCCTTCTGCCAGCTACCGGGACTGTCAGCTGCAGGGTCCTTCTCTGAGATCTGCGCTCAGCTGACAGGAGCTTTTTTACCCAAGGTCACACTCTTTTCCTGGGGGTGGAGGGCAGTACCAAGGTCCAGCCCATTTGTTCAGGACACAAGGCCATCCCAGCTCTGGAGTCACCCGAGGAATCAGCTGGGGTGTCTGTTGTAACTGCATTGCAGTTTAGCTGATCTCTGTCCCATCCTGCCGCCCTTCCTCCCTAATAAGGGTCGCTCCCATGGGCACTTCTAATAAACTTCTTGCATGCCAATCTCTGACTCAAATTGTGCTTCCCAGGAAACCCAACCTAAGATGCCTCATTTCTTTGGGCTGCATCCATAGGCAAAGGAATTGTGGCTCCGTGGGCGGGGGCATGTCTGAGGGCAGTTTCCTTCCTGAAATCACATTGTTTATCCACTGACCTTCTGGCAAAGCAAAAGGACAATCCCTTGGGCCCTGATTTACATCTGCCCCCATGCTATAGAGGGTGGGGGTCCCAGGTTTTGAGTTCCTCTCCAGATAGTTCACACAGGTTTGCAAAATTCAGAGGCAACAACACCCAGATACACTCCCTGAAGCATGAGCTCTTAAACTCTGGCCCTGGTCCAGGGGCACCCTCCCTGTCTCCTCTGGCATTGCTTCCTGGTTGCTAGGTGTTGCAGCGTTGCCCTTGCATCACACTTTGACCCAGGAAAATATTGCATCATGAACTCTTATTACATATTTAGTGACACCAGCCCACCCTGAAAGCAGCCCATGACATCTCTCCTATGCACGACATGGAGAGATACAGGCAGGGTGTCTGGAATCAGAAAGGGTCCTTGGCAGTGCTCTATTCTACCACTCCTGGCTTACAGCCAATGGAAAAACAAAATATACCTGGGATATTCATGCAGCAAATTCTTGTGGTCCCCTAGTCTGTGCCAGGCTCCTGCCACCAGCTGAGACCCAAGAGATGAGTAAAATTGGGTAAATCTGGTCCTGACCTTTGAAGAGCTCCCCTAAAGAAACAACTGCAAACCAGCATGACAAATGCCATAGTATGTGACCTGCTGGCTCAGGGAATAAGAAAAAGGAGGTTCTAGTCTCCCTAGAGAAGGGTTTGGAAACAGGTGCCATTTTCCTCCTTCACCCATGGGGCAAAAATTACAGAGCCAAATAGGGCCATTTTTGCATCAGTGTATGTATATTTACAATCTGCTTGGTAACTGGGGAGGGTGGTCATTGCCCACCAGGCTGCTAGGGTCATCTGTTCAGATGAAGGGAGCTTATAGGTGCCTTCAGTTCTTACTTGGGTCTTTTGCTTTACCTGTGTTGAGGCCAGAGGAAATATGCAGAGAAAGCCCACAGAGGGAACTGCTGCTGGCCCTACCCCAAGGTTCGCCCTCTCAACCTGCCTTGCTCCAAGCCCCAGATGAGTCCTAGGCATGGTTTAAAGGTGGGCTGCACAATAGCTGCTTCGGCTTGTCCATTTTTTATTTATTTTTTTGGTCCCTATGTGCCAACACTCTCCTGAGTGCAGGGACTGTTGTAGTGAATAAGACTGAACACATATGGTTGGAGTGGATACCAGACCATCCCCCGACCCTGCAAAATAAATAAAGAGGTACTAATGGTACAGTGAGAGCCCATAACAGGGTACTCACTCCAGTCTTGGGCTGTAAGCAGGGAGATCAGAGGTGGCTTCCCGGAGGAGTTACCATGGAAGCTGAGACTTGAAATAAGAGGAGTTAGCCAGCAAAGAGGGAAAATGGTGTTGAGACAAAGATCCAAGTGTTACAGGGAGAGAGCAGCTCCGTGAATTGGTTTTAGACCTGGAGGCAAAAGAGAACCTCAGTATAGCTGGGGCTAAGAGTGTGAGAAAGGAATGAAATGTGAGAATGGGCAGAAGCAGTTGGAGGGAGGTACAAGGATCTAGGCGATATTTTGTAGGTAGACCCAATAAACTGGGTGAGTGATTGATAAGGGGGAGGAGGAGGAGGAAGTACACAAGGTCAGGTGAAGACAGTGCACAGGGTTGGGCTTGAGACACTGGAAGGATGGTAAAGCAGTTCCCTGTTATCAAGGGCAAAGGCCAGGAGCAGATTTCCAGATGCAGAGGATAAGCACATTGTTAACATGCTGTATTTGAGAAGGCCTTGAGACTCCAGGGAAATGTAGAGATACTGAAAGGACGAATCTAGGCTGGAAGGTAGAGATGGTGACACATCAGAATATAGGCAGATTGGCATCAAAATCCCAGGAATGGAGGAGAAAGAAAATGGCCAAGACTAGACTCCCCCTGAGGAACAAACTTCAGGAAATGGCCATAGTAACAGGCACCTGCTAGCAACCAGTGAGCAAAAAAGTAGATTGGAGATATAGATGCCAAGAGGAAATTCAGTTTCAAGATGGCGGTTGGCCATTGGTGCCAAATGTTGCTGGGAAGTCAGGTGGGCTGAGAAATGGAAATTGTCTATGATGTGAGCAGTGCCAATGGCCTGTGGCACACTACAAGGGTAGAAAAGGAAGACAGCCCTAAATATGGGTAAGGACATTTTGGGGTCATCAAGTCAGTTGAAGAGACCCTAAACAGAGCATAGAGGGTAACCCATCCTATAACAACACACCTTGGAAGTTTTGGATGGGAGGGCAGTTTTCTCTGACAATACTGCCATTTGAGAGAATGTAGACCTTATGCTTCTCCAGTTGTTCCTTGGCACCTGTGTACCCCCTGTAAGCAAGCATTCAGTGATTACTATAAGGAACAGGAACCAATGTATCAGCTGACCACTGAAGGAAGCTAAGGATCAGAGAGTCCGACTTACCCCCAGTCATCAGAAGGTGCTCCTGACAACTGCCAGTTGGAGTGAAGAGAAACAGGCTGCACCAGAAATATGGCCTGTCCCATCTTCAGGGACTTCTTTTCAAGAGTAATCTTTTTTGTTTAAAAGGAGGAGAAAAGGCCCCTTTATAAAAACAAAGCCTCAATGCCCTCAAGATTAAAGGGTAGACAACTTAATAGAAGGAACATCTTTAGGGTACTTTTGGGGGGTAGGAAGACATCCCCACCTTAAGTTCCTTTCTTCCTCTCCTGTCCAATGGCTCCCACAGACACCATAAATGACTTTAGGAGCCACTTTTGGGGGATCCTTCCTTTAAAACTCTGACCCTAGATTAGATATAAGGTCGTCTTTCATTTTAACCATGCAAATTGCTGTGAAAGTTACAAATTTTAAAAATAAAATCTGAAATTCTAGGAGCAAAGGAATAGGAATACCCTCTCTCTGCAGATGTATTAATCAAGCCATGTTAATCAAATAAAGGGTTCTAATTGTACCAGAGTTAGGGCTTTTTCCTTCCAAGAAAAGATCTCTTGTCACACAGACCCTTCCTGGAGACATACAAACATGATAATCCATCCCTGGGGAACATTGAAGCCTTCTCCATGTGCCCATCAGCACACAAACACCTAGGCCAGTGTTCTTGAAATTGAGTGTACATCTGAATCACCAGGAAGATTCATTAAAACAAAGTGCTGGGCCCACTTTCTGAGTTTCTGATTCAGCAGGTCTTGGGTAAGTCCTGAGAACCTGCATTTCTAACAAGTTCCCAGATGATACTGATACTGTGTTCCAGGGATTGTGGATTGCACTTTGAGAACCACTAGTCTAGGCCCAGGTTGATGACTATTTAGAATGTAAGCCACGTAGCCCTGCCTTGTGCCCATGGTGGAGAGAGCTAACCTGTCAACTTCTGCTTTTCCACTAAGCCTGATAGTGGTTTTGGAACCCGTATCTTCTCAGGAGTACTGCACATAGTCATTAAATAAGGTTGAATGCCAAGATGTTTTCTTAGCTGATTATGTTTAATATACCCAATCTAAAAAAATGATAACTACTGTCTTAATTTTTTTTTTGCACTGCTATAGCAGAATACTGCAAGTTGGGTAATTTACAAAGGAAAGGAATCTATTGGCTTATGATTCTGGAGGCTGGGAAGTCCAAGGTCATGAAGCTCATATCTGGCAGGGCCTTCTTGTTGTCATCTCATGGGAGAAGGCAAGATGTCAGGTAAGGAAGGAATCTGAACTATACCTTTTATCAGGAGCCCTCTCTTGTGATGACTAACTCTCTCCCATGACAATCCAGTTATGAGGGCAGAGACCTCATGACTGAATCAGCTCTCATAAGGCCCCACCTCTTAACACTGTTGCCTTGGGGATGGTTTCCAACACGTGAACTTTGAGAAACAGATACAAACCATATCAAATACCATTTGCCTAGCTACTCAGACCTAATAAAGCCCAGGACTTATCCTCGATTCATTCTTTCCCTTTCCTCTCACAATGGATCAGCAATATAGTCAACTTCTAACTTGAATAAATATATCCTGAATTTGACCACTTCTCGAATGTCCACCATTTCTTCCCTAGTCTAAGTAACCAGCATCTCCTACCTGGATACCTGGGGGAGACCCCTAATTGGTCTTCCTGCTCCATTCTTGCCCACACTACAATCCATCCCCAACACAGCAACTGGAGGGATCATTTTCAAAATAAGTCATATCATCTCTCTGTGTTTTCACTCTTCAATGGTTTCTAACATCTTTAGAATAAAATCAAACCAAAAATTCTTCCAGTGGCCAGCAAGACTCAAATTGATCTGCATTCTGCCTACCTCTCCGATCTCACCTCCTTTTGCTTCCCACCCCAAATACACATGCACATTCATGGTGTCCTCCCAGCATGCTCCTGTCTGAGGTCTCTCATATTTGCTGTTCCCCCCAACTGGGATGCTCAAGCTCCCAACATCATGCACCTTAGGGCCTCCCACTTCATTTAGGTCTCTAATTGTGGTCACTTCGTTAGGGAGCTCTTCCCATCACCTAGCTCAATTCACCCTCCCATTCATTCCCTCAGCTCTACCCCTATTTAGCTTTCTTCTTAGAACTTATTATTATCTGACACTGTATTATACATTTATTTGGTTGCTTTTCCTCTCCCTTCAGTGGAATGCAAACTTCATGAGAGCAAGAATTTATTCTTTTTTTATCATCTCTCTGCCATTTCCTCAGTGCCTAGACCATGTCTGGCTCAAAGTATATATTTAACACATGTTTAATGAATGAATGAATTTACTAACAAATTTACCATGACATACTAAGAACTTTTTCAGGATTACTTCATTTAATTCTCATAATGATCTTCAGATTAGATATTATCATCAATTTCCCCATTTTAAGGGTGAGGAAACTGGGCCTGACGGGCTTGAGTTCTTGCCCAAGGCCCTCCATTGTAGGAAGTGGAAGCAGAGGAGAATGCAAGCCTCCCTTACCTGTACACCTGGGCCCTTTCTGTGGCTTCTCACCCGAGGCAGAGCTAAAGTGCATTTCCCATAAGCACATTTCAAGGTCGCCTTTCATCACAGGTTACTTTCCTAGTAACATCTAGCAGGGCACAAGACTCCCAAAAGCAACCAATGCTGCTGGAGTCCAAGTACAAGGAGAATCCAAAATGGCAGCCCTGTTCAGAAGAGGAGTCATGGACTGGACCAAGAGGGACATGAAATAAGACTGTGGGCCCCACAGCAAGGTGACACTTCAATAGGACAGAAAAGGACCCCAAATGGAAGACAGGCTGTGCTAAGACAGAATAGAGGCTGTCCTAGTTTTGCTCCAGGCCAGTTTATTATTAGGTCATGTAAGGGTTAACACCAGAGCACCTTGGGCTGGGCACAGCCACTGTGGAGAGTTGAAGGTCATTGCTATTTCGCAAATACAGATTGAGCACATACTCCATTGCTGGCTCTGTGCTGTCGAAATACATTTCCCCAAATATACTTTGGCTGCCCTCACCTGTAGGTACGTCAAGGCAGACATCTGCAGTTCCTCTGTGTCTAAGATTTAGACTCCTTCACAGGCCTCTCAAAAGCCCACACTATATACTGTCATTACCTCTGCTTCACAGCTGAGTTGTATTTGCTACAACAGCTAAAGTGACTATCAAGGTAGCTGATTCCACACACTCTTCCAGGATCTGTTGGATCTCTCTCCTTCCCTTTGCAGCCACAGTTCTTGAGTTGTCCTCACTTGCTACATACCTCCTAACATCTGTTTCTCAGACCACTGTAATCAGGCAGCATTATGACAGCCTCTGAATTGCCATATTCAGTGGACACACTTCTGGCCTCTTTTCCTTAGCCTCTTTCTCTCTCTTTTTTTAAATATTATTTTTAGTTGTAGATGACACAATATCTTTATTTACTTATTTAATTTTATTTATTTAATTTTATTGAGGATCAAACCCAGGGGCTCACACCTGCAAGGCAAGTGCTCTATCACTGAGGTACACTCCCAGCCCCTTAGCCTCTTTCTGATGTACAAAACTGCTGGCACTTCCATTAGTGTGCATGGTTTGGTGATATCACTCTCTCAGGTTTTTCTCCTTCTTTGCTAGCTTTCCCCTACTTTCCTTTCTTCTACTCCAGAAGAAGTCCAGATCAGGGCTTTTCCATGCTTCTATTCTAGATCCTTTGCTCTTCTTATTCTAGAAAGACTTCCCAAATGATTCCTTTAAATCCATGGCTTCAACCACAATTATACCAGGATTCTGCAAATATTTTTGTCTGTTATATTTAAAAATTTTTGCATAGACCCTTCCTTATTAATTTACATGTGGCATACATGCATTACTAATCACTCTATATATTATAAAACCTCTATATAATACAAATGTGGAAAATAGCTAAAATGAGTCTAAATGAAAGCCCTAATCATTTCCTTTCCTTCCCAAAGGGTCATCTTGCTCGCATTCTTCTGGGAGACTACTAATAAGCAAACTGATTACTCTGCCTACTAGACACTAGATGTCAGAGAGATATACCAAAGTCAAATACAGCATGTCCAAAATGGAATTCATTGTATCTCCCCCCAAATAATGCCCTTCAGGAAAGTAACAAATAATGCTGGGAAATAATATTATGTCAGAAAGCAAGAAAGTGCTCAAAGGCAACTGTGCATGTGCCAAGAGGACACAGTACTCTGCTCAAAGGGGACCCCATTGGCCAAAGTTGAGACAATTAGAACATCAATAAAATGATGAAATCCGGGTGCAGCAGGGCATGCCTGTAATCTCAGTGACACAGGAGGCCGAGGCAGGAGGATCACAAGTTCAAAGCCAGCCTCAGCAACTTAGTGAGGTCCTAAGCAACTCAGTGAGACCCTGTCTCTAAATAAAATATAAAAAGTGCTGGGGATGTGGCTCAATAGTTAAGGGCCCCTGGGTTCAATCCCTGGTAACAAAAAATAAAATAAAATAATGACTATAGCTCATTATAACCTATTGTGTGTATATGTGGAAAAAAAACCCAGGAGTCTACAGTTATACTTTTTTAAAAAAATGGTGAAGTGGGTGGGAATCACAGGGGAAATTTCTTCTTTACAGATATATGCCAGCTAATAAATATATTAGAAATGACAGATTTACAAAATCAATATTTTACAACCTACAGTAGGATAATTGATTCAGGCAAGACTCACTAATAGATGGTGCTGGGCGAAATGCTTTTCAGAACAAGATATTTTACCCAGTGACACAGTATCACCCCCAGTTACTGATTAATTACAAAGGGGGAAGTTGCCTTTATAGTGGAGAGATCAAACAGCATCATTAATAATAGGGTAATAATAGAACAAACAACTATTATATGTCTCTTGATGTGACACATCAGCACTTATGCAGAATTCTCACTCAAAATGTGCAACCTGAATCTAATCAGCCATCCTCAGACTGTGGCTCATTCTATAAGACAACTGGCCTGAACTCTTTAAAAAAAGTCATTTCATAAAAGAAAAAAGCAGAAGGGGCTATTTAAATTAAAGAAAACTAAAGATATAGGACAACCACACACAATTCATGATCCTTGGCTTCAATCTTTTTTAAAAAAAGCCCTTTAGTACACAATCAGGGAAATTTAATTGCAGACTATGTATTTAATGATATTATTGATCAATGTTAAATGTCCTGGGTATTGAGTTTTGGAGGAGAACGTCCTTACTCTTAGGAAATACACATTGATATATCTAGAGATGAGATGTTATGATATCAGCAACTTACATATGGTCCAGTTAAAAATGTATATTTGTGAATGTTTGTACACTGAAAATAAGAATGAGAAAGACTGAGAGGGAAAGACAGAAATTAATCCAGTACCACAAAGAGTAACAACTGGAAGAACCCAGGAGAATCACATAGAGTTATACATTGTACTATTCTTTTGATTTTTCTTCAGGTTTAAACATTTTCAAAGGAAAATATGGGGAAACAAGCAAACAAACTTTGACCCTGCTCCTGATAACACAAAAGTTATCAGGGACCAGAATAGAACAAGTTTTATTTGATTAACTTACAAACTTGAACTTTTTCCTGAAAGCTATGTCATGGAAAGATTTTAAACAGAAAAATGATGTGATCAGATTAGATGGAGGAGGTGAGAGAGAAGATCACAGTGTGACTCCATCTTCTGGATTCTTCTTTGTTCTCATCTCCATATCTAGATATCCATATTCTAAAAAAAAATCTCCCTTCTAAATATCCCTCTCCTTTATCTGACACTTAGTTCTTTTATCCCCATGACAAGTGACTTGGTTCACAGCCCAATCCTTGTATCTGGATGACTAGTCCCCCTTTTCTACCACAGTGTCCCCAAATCACTCTTTAGTTCAGGCCAGAGTGACCTTTCAAAATGCAAATGAAAAAAGCGTTACTATTTAAATATTTCAGTGATTCCTCTAGGTAAATATTCTTTAGCTAATCACCTGTTCCCCTTTATTCATGGGTAATACATTCTAAGACCCTCCCCAGAGGAGGACTAAAATTGCAGATACTTCTGAATCCTAATATACTATGTTTTTTCCTATACATACATGCCTATGATAAAATTTAACTCTAAGTTAGGCACAGTAAGTGATAAATAATGATTAACCATGAAATTAAAAAATCAACATATTAAGTAATTTTTATTTTACTTAATACACAAGCACTATGATACTGAGACAGTCAATCTGATAACTAAAGTGACTAACGGATAGGTAACATATACAGGGTGGATACATTAGGTAAAGGGATGATTCACATCCCAGAAGGGCTATGCAAGATTGCATCATTCTTAGTCAGAACAGTGCATAATTAAAACATAATTTTTTTATTTCTGGAATTTTCTATTTGATATTTTTGGACCATGGTTGACTGTGGATAAATGAAACTGTGATAAACAAAACCATGTAGAAGGTATAGGGTAGACTGCTATACATATCTAGGTCTGTCTTCCTGACAACCTCTTTAAGCTACTCCTACGGCTACATTCCCAGGTCTGTTCAATGTCCCAGCTGATCCCATAGCAATGCCAAAAAATGTCCTGGTTCTGTACACCTTTGGGCATTTGCACAATGTTTTCCTGCTTAAAGGGAATGCGTACTTTCCCTTCTCTCGATTTGGACTGCCTCTATCCATCCATCAAAACTTAGCTTAAATTGTCCTCTCCTATGGAAACCTTCCCTGATTACACCAAGCCTAAGCTTCTTGGACCTCCTCTATTTCCCTAGTCCATCTAATAATGCCATTGTAACTCTTCATCTTGATTGCATCTTTTTCCCCCATTAGATTCTGAGGCCCTTGGAGGTAGGGGCTATGTTTTTTTTTTCAATGATATCTGAGCCTGGCAGATGGTGGTGCTAAATAAATGATGATTGAACGAATGAATGAATGTAACACAAATGGGAATATCAGTTAGGATTCTTCCACGAGAAGCACCAAAAATCAACTCTGGCATGGAAAGAAATTCACTAGAAGGATAATCCATATTACATACTGTAGGAGGAGAGCTTCCAAAACCTGGGAGGTAGAAACATACACAGACTGTGAACTGGAGCAGCATAACATTGTCAAGAGTTTCTTAAAGTCACTGTCATTGTATGAATACAACAAATAAGATAATTATACACTAAAATCATGGATGTTGTGTCGTTTTCTACATGTATGCTCAAAAGAACCCTACAAAATGGAGCAGACACACAGGAGCATTGGAAATATGGCCTGGGTTCCAGACACTGAGAACCAGGGTCTCTGCTCTTCATTCTCCAAGTTGGCCAAACACATTGAACTCAATATCTCTTATGATCCCACTGAGATCACCTTGTTGCAAATATTTTCTATGATTGCAGGAAAATATTTTGAGGGTTGAGATTTCAAAATATTATTTGTTTCTTTGGGGCCTCTGCCCTCCCTTTGCATAGGGGTACTGTCCCCAGAGCTTCAAATAGCTTAAGTTTATAGGCACTTTCAAGAATCCACCTTCCCCTTTCTCCTCACTGAGAAGGGCTGCCTGGGGTGCTATCCCCTTTCTGACCTGAGGAGAAACCTCGCTGTCAGTGAACTGACCACCCCAGGGCCCTACTTTCATCATCCCTGCTACTGTTCCAGCTGCGAAGTGTTGGTGTGGAAGGGGGAGAGATAATGTGTACAGAGAAGGGATGCCTTATCAAGAGTCAGGCAGGGCAGATGAAAGTCACACCTGAGAAGTCCCAGGTGGTTCAGAAAGGACAAAAGTCCCCCTCCTTTACTTTGCCTTCTACTGACTGGCCTTTTATACTTTCTTACAGTACCTCCTTTGTAAACTCCCTCTGCCTGAAGACTTGAGACCATTGTCTTGCTGCCACCCCAGTCACTTGGAATAAGATGCCTCTCGTGTGACCAAAACCAACGAACTGCTAGAATGAGTCCTAGCACCTTTGAGAACAAGGGTGACCTATTTCTCTCACCCGCAGGAGTTCAACTTTTAAAAAGAGGAAAGAGTCACTAGACAGTTATATTCATACCGCCACAAGAGAACGCCAACATGGCCACCTTAAATAAACCCCTGGAGTCAGGACATCTCTGTGTGATTTATATAAAAATTGACATGAGGAGTCACCTCCAAGCTTGCTCACCCTGTAAACTGCTTGCCCTGAGGCTTCTAGACTCCTTGCCTCCATCTACAGCAACCCAGCCTCAACTGGGATGTCTTAACCAGGGTCTCCTGCGGTGTATCACATATGGATTCTCAGCCTTTATGCATCCAGAATATTCTTTTGCCCCCTGAAGCTCCAGAGTCCATGCATCTGAAGTCAATAAATATTGTAAGACTCCACCTCCATGTACTATTGCAGCTGGAGGCCTGTCCCAGAGCAGGCTCAGATAATTTTGGCATGAAGCTGCTTGCTTGCTGTTTAAAAGTATGTCCTAAAACTGATAGCTAACACAAACATTCAGATCTTACTGCTGCTTTTGGTTGCAGTCTGATCCAAATTCTCCCTTGACCTGTGCTTTGCTGCCTTGCTGGCCTCTCACCCTGCTGATCCTCTAGCTACTGCCCTATTTCTTCTTGGTTGGAGTTCAGAATACTCCAACATGCATAGCTTTCCTCCTAGTCCATAATTAGAACAGCAATAAATGGATCAGGAAGGAACCAAATGTCTGATTGCTGGCATCTGGCTTCATCTTTCTACTTGCTCAGCAGCAACTTCCCAAATACGACGCCCAGGGCCTTTTCCATAAAGACCATTAGGTTCCTGAGGGTCCCTACTAGAAGTGTTCTTCTAGGAGATGTCTCTGGTCATACAATGATTACCACCATTGCTGTCATCAGTACCATCGTTAACAAATGGCAATGCGTTATTTTTTGAACAGCACTTAACTTCTTTTAAAGCACTTAAACATGTATTATCTCGTTTGCTCCTCATGACAATTCTATCATGTATTTCCATTTATCAGATAAAACTGGTTGTTCAACAAAGTCCCTTGGTCAAGGCCACATGAGTGCCGGGCCTGACCTACACTTAAGGTTGACCAACAGGTGGTACGATGTCAGAAAAAAAGAACACAGACTTTGACCGCAGAGAAGTTTTGGTTTCAAGCCAACTTAGATTCGAATTTGTTTTCTTCCACCTGTCTGGCAATGTACTCCCATTTGACAAAATTCTCAATGTGTGCCTAGGAGCATGCTATAGAAGGTGCTCGTGAGGATGAGACCCAATGTAAGAAGGCACAACTCCCATTGGAACCCCTGGCTGCCATCTTTCTTAGTCAACAGCCCTTCACTCCACACCATCAATTTGAGAATGTTTTGCTAGTACAGAGAAGAAACCCTAACCTTCAAGTTCTTGCTCAGATAATGCTGGCTCTAGCAAAAGACTGAATTACTCCTGGCAGGAGAATAGGAATCCTTCATACCCTTGAAACAACATACACATCCCAAGTGCTTACAGGATGTAAAAATTTAGTATTGCACATTTGATACCAAGTAAGTCTTCCTGTCTTTCCTTCTTCATGAGTTGAACTTGATTCCAAGCTATTAAAATTCATTTGGTAAAATCTCTCCCCTGACAGTTCTTAGCAGCTCCATTTTTAGTGAAGGGGCTGCCCTTCCATTAGGGGCAGCAAAGTAGAAAAGCCAGAAAGTTGCAAGAGGAGAGGGAGGCCAAGTAGCCAAGCTCTGTGCTTTCCAAAATCTGTTTTACAGAAACATGAACCCCCGTACATGTTCAGGAACAGCTTAGAACAGCAATAGATGGATCAGGAAGGAACCAAATGTCTGCAATGTGGCCCTGAGTGTGTCCTTATACCCAGGGGGAAACTCTGTCACCTTGCTTGTGACACTGCATTTCATTCAGACAGCTCCACAGAGCTGAAAACCTTTTGCTCTGATGGATGAAAATCAGCTTTGGAATAGGAAAGTACTTAGAGTCACTGGGGAATGAATATAATCTCCAAAACACATTTACTGCTCACATTCAAATGAAGATTAAATGATTCCTTTAATACTCATCAACTCTATTAAACTTCATAGAAGCAAAACCTTTTGAAATAAATTAGCCAGATACTTTCTGGAAACAACAAGCATTTGAGGCTGCATTCTCCTATGCCATTATCCACCTTCCTGTCAATCCAGGGAAGTACCCTGATGAAAAGGAGGAGGGGAAGAAGGAAGCCAGCAAACTTGGGGACAGCATACACCCTACATGCCTGGCAAGGTGTGGGGCAGTGGAAATGTGTCACATCATTTGATTTCCCCAACAACTTTGAGAGGTAGCTACTATTATTATCACCCATATACAGAGAGGAAAATGGAGGGTCAGAAAACTAGGAAATGGTATATTGGGCTCTCAAACTGATTTCAAATACCCTGAATTGCTTCTCTGTTTGAATTTAAGCCCAAGATAGGTATGGGAATTATGGTGACATAATGCAATTAGAGATCAATGATTAATCATTTGGGTTTGGAAATCTGACCACTTGGCTCAAATCCTGTTTCTTTTGCTTTCTAGTTGTGAAAGCTCAGGAAGGATATTCAGTTTTTCTAAGCCTGCAAAATTGAGCTGCTAATAATAAAGTACAGAGAACAATGCTTGACATACTGTAAACAATCAAAATCCTTGAGATTAAGCCAGGTGTGGTGGTACACACCTGTAATCCCAGCAGCTCAGAAGCCTGAGGCAGGAGGATCGTGAGTTCAGACTCAGCCTTAGCAAATTAGTGAGGCCTTAAGCAACTCAGGGAGACCCTGTTTCTAAATAAAATATAGAAAAGGGCTGGGGATGTGTCTCAGTGGTTAAGTGCTCCTGGGTTCAATCCCTGGTACCCCATCCAAAAAGTTCATTGAACTAGAAGTAGACAAATGTCTTAAAATATGTACCTCAGAATCAGATGCTGAATAAATAATTTGGTTGCATGGAGTTAATTAAACAAACATCTAAATTAGCTAACTCTGGAAAGATAGACAAAGGAGTGGAGTTGTATTGCAGGGAAGAGAAGAAAGCCTAGATAGGGTGCATGGATAATTGTAGGAAACTGAGACTCAGTCCCACTGCATACCTGTGGAGGAGGTATAGAACTCAGACCTCAGGATGATCCCACTTATGAGAAGAGGAAGCTGGGGGGTTCATCCTCCAGCACCATCCATCACTGAAGGGAATGCTGTGCTTAGAGGTATTAACCCCTTGACACTTCTGGCCTGCTCATGATCCAGCAGAGAATCTTTCAATGAAGTTTGGGATGCTCACAAAATGATGTTGATGGCTAAGACTAAAATGGTGAGTGCTGAAGGAGTATGGGAAGGGTAACAACAATATCTATTAAAACAACTTTGAAGGCTCAGTTGATGCTTGTTCTGGTCACTGTGAGCTGGCCCCTTAGTAGGGGCCCTAAGGACCCAGGGATCTAAGACTAGAGAGTGTCCATATCATTATGATTTTCTGGAAAGCAGCTTAAACATCCAACCATAGCCCCATCTGAGGACAGGTTTATTTTACCACAGAGGGCATTTCTAAGACCAAAACTACAGTGTGTGAATGTGTGTGTGTTTGTGTGTGTGTGTGTATTGAAAAGGGATGTCCCTGGAACAACAGTCATGACAGCGATTACTCTCTTAAGTATGACCCAACATACTCAGTTATGGACAGTTCCTCTGTTGGTCCCAGACAAGAGATACCCTTGCTCTGAGCCATATATTTCAGAGGATCCCTCTCCAGCTTTCCTCTGTCTAAACCTTTCCTTATGAAGTGAGGTGTTCAGAGGGGTAAGAGAAAGTACCTAGGGCTTGTTCAGGTTTCTGAAAGTGAACCACACAGCTGATGGCCAGCCAAAGAGTGGCTGTTTCCAAAAGTATAATGACAAATCTTGGACACATAGACTCAAGTGTCAGGGGCCAGCATGAGCCTGGGGACACACCAAGTTCTGAATGTAATCCACCTCAGTCTGGAAGGAGACTGCCATAATTAAGTAGATGAGAATAAAATCTCCTATGAAGTTCTCCCTCCTTCTCAAAGAAAGTATCCAAAGTATGAATTGATTAATGCTCATTATAAAGAAAGTGAAAAGTACAGGTGAGCATAAATAAAAAAGTAAAACACATTATTCCTTACTCTTATAGGAAAATAAAATCAGTACTTACTTGTTTTCTAGTTTTTATGAATGTGCTATAAAGTGGCTGTGGAGTAATACAGCTAATTATAGCTGTATCTTGGTCATCCAAAACTTTCTAAGAAGAAGCATTTCAAAAATTTTCCTTTAGTGAGCAATGTGATTGCTGGAAAAAATCACATAATTTTATTAATATCATCATTAATATGGTGTCTTATTAGATTAGCAATAATCTAATCACACTGTGGAAATTCTTTCAAGAATATTAGCAAGAAATCACTTCTGTGGCTTCTGAATAAAAGTAATTCAATCATGACCTATCAAAGTCATGTTGGCTAGAATTGTAGGAGGCAGAAAAGTATAGAAGGATGTCAATTGTTTAAGCTCCAGTCCCTTGAAGGATGATGGTTTCCAGTGGCCAGAGCTGAGTAATGGATAAAAGTGGGGATGAGAGAAGGGGATTGGCCAGGCTGAATTTATTCTCATCTTCATTCACAAATTCTATCATCATTTATTAAGTGCCTACCATGTACCAGAAACAAGGCTATGTTTGAGGAGCTCATAATGCTGGGATGGATACTTCTTTTGTTACAGTTCCAACATCCACTTTATCTGTAATAATAACTACCACTTTGCGTCTCTCAGCTCTCAAGGCTTAGGCAATTCATTTCCACTTCTGGACTCCATGAGTGAGGCACATGACCTCTTTCAAAAGACCTCTGTCCTCCAGACCACAGGGATTGGTTAGAGATGAGTGCATAATGCAAGTCAGGTCAATGAGATCAACAAGACTTGTGTGTGGTTCTAGTTCAGGAAAAAAAGTTTCTTTGTCTTCTTGGCAGGAATTCTGCGATAATTTGAGCTTGAAGCTCCTAAGGAACAACATCCAAAGCAAGAAAACACAAGAAACTTGAAAATGGAGCTCACCTAGATAGATGGTGGAGATATTCTGGTCAAACTGCAACTGAAGGTGGAATTCCCAGTGACATAAACCATTAAGTTTTCATTTTGGTTTAAGCCATTTTTTGTTTTTGGACACTTGAAATAAAAAGATACTGAGATGAAAATAGAAGGAACTATTTACAATATCACAGGATGTGTTCTATAACAACAGGGTGAGTTATGATAAGAATCCAGTGTCCTTATTGGAGAGTATATAAGAGAATTCCTCTTCATATCTGGGTAATCTGGAAACTCTAGGGAAATGTGACATTGACCTGGGAATAAATG